TACCTTCTGAAATTCCTAGAATAGCCTTCAATTATATACCTAATAAAGAACAATAGTGTGTATCATATCATGTTTAGAAAAATATTATTTGGGGAAGGTGAAATAAAGGGAAAAGTAACAAGTTGTATTATAGAGCTCTAAAAGTGTATGAAAGGAGAAAGAAAGTAGGAAGGGCTCTTGACAGGTAGGACAATGGGCTGTTGACAATTAGGGTAGTTTACTATAAATATAGGAGGTAGTTGTACAAGGAGTTAGTTTTTGAATTTGTAAAGTTTAGATTGGATCATTACTCCAATGCAAGGAGGGAGGCTTTCTTGGTGTATTCGTGATTTTTTCATTCGTTTAACAACAATAAAAATACTTTCTTTTGTTGTCTTTGTGAGTTTTGGTGTGTGAAGAGTGTGTTCTTAGACTTCTTGATCAAAGAAATCTAACAAGATTGGTCCGACCTGCTGGATCTCATACTGTGTTGTGGCGCGCAATGGAGGGCAAGGTGAACCTGTTGGAGGGAAGGTTTGACATCATTGAAACGACAATGAAGGAATTCAGAGCCGAGATGCGAGGGATGGCCCAAGATTTGGGTCGCATTCTCTGGAGAAGAGAAACGAACTAGAGAAGGAGCTCCAAGGGTAGTCATGACTTGGTCAATAGAGGTCGGGAGATGTAAAGGCAAAGGGAAGGCTCCAACGAAGACATGGAGGAAGAGCACGGAGACCTCCATAGAAACTAGATGAAAAGTGTGGAGGTGCCCACCTTTGAAGGCATCGATCCTATGGGTTGGATTGCGCGAGCAGAAAAATTCTTCGAACTACAAAACATATCAGAGCGAGAGAAGATGAAGCTAGCCTACATTTGTATAAAGGGTGGAGCGAGTTACTAATTTTGCTTTTGGTGAACGAAGACCAAGAATCCTTCTTGGGAGATGCTGACGGAAGTTATGGTGCGGAGGTTTGGTGGTAGGTATAGGGGGACGATTTTTGAGAAATTGGTTGCGGTCCAATAAAGGGGAACGATGGATAAATACATGCAAGAATTTGAAATTCTTGTGGCTCAAGCAACAGGATTGATGGAGGAGAAACTCCTAGGGTACTTCTTCGCACGGTTGCAAGAAGGGCTGTGAAATTTGGTCAGACACCATGACCCACGTGATCTCCTGATCATGATGGACAGGGTGCGAGATATCGAACAGGCGAGATTCTTCCCAAGGATGAACAATGGCAGGGCGAAGATAACAAGGGGGTGGGGGGAAACATGAGGACGATATTATGCCAGTATGGGTACGTTTACGAGAACGAAAACCTATCGGAGAACATCGGAAGGCGCGACAAACGTTGGCGGAGGGAATGGGTCGAAGCGAGAAGGAGTTTCTAATACTGTGAGCTCTAAGGTAGGCAACACTACAAGGGGTAACACGTAATGATGAGGGTTGAGGACACTGCCATACCCATAATATTTATTAAGTGTTGATTTACGATTAAAACATTATTCAACCCCCTTCCCCCACTAGTGCAGAAATAGTGTATAACGTCACGCGTTCAACGTCCAACCAATGTTAAAAATGATCGGTGACATTTTTGTAAATAAATGCAATTATTAGACATTGTTTAGAATTGTAATTCGACGTCAATTTGTTATATTGGGTAAATTTTGCGAAAATATTTGGCGCAAAGGTGAAAATGTATTTACGTATGAAGTCGAATGCCTCAGCATTAGACGTTAAAAGGTTAGTGATTCAATAAAAATTTGAGCGGGAGATTTAAAATTCATTCACTTTATCTTAGCGCACGATACCCTCTTCTCTGCTCAAACTTTTCTGGAACGAAGTTTGACGACCATCACATGTAATCTTTCTTTCATTTGTTACAAATGCATGTTAATTAACTACTTTAGGTATGCTTTTCGTTTGTTTTGACCGATTATTTTTGTGTTCTTGTCCTTCATAAGTTTTTTTTGAACTTGTTTGTTGTTTTTGTTTGGTTGAACCTGTTTGTTGTTGTTGTTGTTTGATTGAACTTGTTTGTTATTTGTTATTGTTTGTTGTTGATACTACACTACACATTCATAGTTCATGCTTTATAAAATATCAAAAACTGAAATTTGTTGTTTTCCTGCTTCAGGTCTCATAGAGTTGTAAAAAAGGATCACAATTAATTAAAAAAACAAAAAAAATTGATTAACGTCGAATATTGACAAAATTCGACGTTAATTTGATTAACGTCGAATTGTTCTATGTTAAACGTCAATTTAACGTCTTCCGATATGATGTTGATCTTGAATTCGACGTGAAAGACAAAAAACAACGACGTGACACAATGTTTTTGTACTAGTGTCCCTTTCTAGTGTTTTTCCTGCATTTCAATCACCATTAGTCCCCTTCCCATTTTTAGTCTTCCTTCTTTCTTCCTTATTTTAATGTTTTTATGTTCATTATGTTTGGCTTATATACTTCCATTTTCATCTTGCTTTGGTTCATGTTTGAAATCTCTTCATCTCTTCTTGAGCTCATACAAGTCAACTTTCATATCTAGATAGCCTTGATTATCGTGGAAATCTTTATTGAGCTTTCTTCATCACCTAAACACTATATTTACTTAAAATGAAAATGAGTCTTTATCATTGAAATCAATATTTAGATCCACGTAGCCCATGACTTGATTATCTTGGACATTCCAATTTACATAATAATCTGTTTGCCTCTTTTTGTTAGGAGTAGAACTAATACCATTAATATGATTCCAACTACTTTTACCATTGACAAAGATCTAAAACTAGAATGTTTAGGCTAGAAAGTTATGGTCAATAAGACAAATGATAGGACAGGATACTTTCTAATAGACATGAGGCTAAGAAAGAATAAATCATTAGGAAGAAATCACTAAACAATCCTAGAGAAATTTAGAAAAAACCAAGAGACTACTTGGATAGAACTTTGGTAGGATCCAGCCTAATCTAATACCATGTTAAGCTTAAAAGAAAGTAAATTGAAAATTGTGTTCATCTGGAAAAAAATTATTTTAATAATGATAATACAAATTCTGTATAATATCATACAACAATTAATATGTTATAAATATTAATTATACAATATCTAATAATAACACAATCATAACCGTATATGTATAAATAAATCTACACTAATAATATATAATATTTTATTAATAAATTCCAAGTATTTGAAATACCAAATCTATTGACGTGTGCATAGTAGTTTATCATTGAAGTTAACATATTTCTTTCATCTTGTTTATTGGCTATATTAGATTCAATCTTTCTAGAAAAGTTATTTTTAATCCAACTCTTGGTGACTTGAGTGTTCAAGAATTTTTCGAACTACATTTCAACCTTCACGAACAAACATACGCCAAGATTATCCAATCCAATCACATTCTACTACCAGTATGAAGATTGCACTCTAAATTTCTGTAAGAATACTTTCTTTAAGAAAATCTCACTTTTATTTAAATTCAACATTTTGAAATAAAAATATCAAGGAATTATTATTTCCAAATCTATTATTTCATAAAAAGCTCATAATCAATTGCCCAATTCGCAGCCTCCCTTTCTGAACTTTCGACACTTTACTATATTCCTATGACTTACTAAAATAATAACCAATTGCCTTAAGAGTTTTAAGAAGCATTACCCAAAAGCATAATTTAGGAGTATTTTACATTTCTTTGTAAACATTTGGAATAATTTAAAAATGAGTATTAAATATGTTTGATGTTTTCAATATAATCATAAAATTGTTATTTCGTATAACCTTTCTTCACGTTTTTTCGATGTTTATGGAAGATGCAGAATTTTAGTTAAATTTGATAAATAAATTTATTAGAGAGACAGTTAAATTTTGATTAAGTGTGTTGTGTTTTCCTTCAAATTCAATAATTGGATTGCTATGAAAGAGTTTATTTGAAGTTGAGTATATATAGTTTGGGGTCATTCGATGTATTAATTTCACTGAATTTATGGAAATGTTTCTTAAAAGAAGTTTATTTATAATTCATTACAATGACTTTCAAAGTCTGGTTTGAGAACGACTTGTTGATAAATATCTCTTCTATTGGTCAGAAGATAACCAAACTTTCAAACATTTGTTCAGTTCAATTTCATAGTGCAGTTGTTGGAAGATGGAGGAGGTCAAGTTGGTTTTGTTAGGCGCAAGGTTCAGTATGTTTGGGATGAGAGCTAAGATAGCTTTGGCTGAGAAAGGAATAAAATATGAGTACATGGAAGAAGATCTCACCAACAAGAGCCCCTTGCTTCAAGAAATGAATCCAATTTACAAGAAAATTCCAGTTCTCATACATCATGGAAGACCAATCTGTGAGTCCCTCATCATTGTTGAGTATATTGACATGGTTTGGCACAACAATTCTCCTTTGCTCCCCTTGGATCCCTACCACAAAGCACAAGCCAAGTTCTGGGCTGATTTTGTAGATCAGAAGGTAAATTTCAAAATTAGAAGATTAAGAACTAAGCATACATGTTCTAGAAAGCTGTTGGTAACAACTTATGTGGTAAAAAATGGCAGGTGTATCATGCTTCTAAGAGAGTGTGGATTTCTAAGGGAGATGAGCAAGAGGTGGCAAAGAAGAACTTTCTAGAGAGCTTGAAGCATTTGGAGGAGTTTCTTGGAGACAAACCTTATTTTGGTGGAGAAACATTTGGGTTTGTTGATGTTGCCCTCATTCCTTTCTATTGCTGGTTTTATACCTATGAGACCTTTGGCAATTTCAAAGTGGAGGCAGTGTGTCCAAAACTGATCTCCTGGGCTAAGAGATGCATGCAAAAACAAAGTGTATTTGAAACTCTTGCAGATGAAAAGGAGGTCTATGAGGCTGTTTTGGATTATAAGACAAAATTTATATTGAATTAAGGTAACTCTATATGTTTCTTCAAAATGTAAGAATTTACTTGTGTTTTAGTTAGGCAATCCTAATAATAATATATATGCATGCTTATTGCGGTTTCAAAACTGGTTATGAGTTTCAAAATGAAGCTGTCTTCACGAAATTTGTTGTGACTTTGTGCACATAATTTTTCTGTCCGTAATTTATGCCTAAAGAAATCATATATCTTTGACACGCAAATCAATATCATGATTTATAAACATCCACGGGCTGTTATTCAATCATAAATATCCATTAACAAGAACATAAGCAGCAAAACCAAAGATGCATCTCAGTAATTCCTTTATTCAGAAGACACAACACACATAGCCTCTGTTTCATTTCTGGGAAACAGCAGGCTCTTTGGCAACCCTGACAATACTCTACCCTTTGTTTCTCTTCTGGGAAATATACTCTTTGACCATCTGCTCCTGGGGAAAACTTTTGGACACACTCTCTCTTTGGATGCACCTCCTGGCCCAAGAAATGATTTTGGGGTACTGTGCCTCGCTGATGAAATTGCCATATAAGCTAAAAGTATAAAAATAACAGAACAAAGGAACAAGTGCAACATCCACGAAACCAAAGTTATTTCCACCAAAATGAGGCTCATCCCCAAGTTGTTCTTCCAATAACTTCAGACTCTCCAAAAATTCTTGCCCAGCAGCCTCTCTCTCTTCTCCTTCAGTTGTCCAAAACCTTGTGGCATGCTTATATACCTATTAGGAAGTCAATCATGAAATTTTTAATTTTCAAACATATAGGAATATTGTGCGAAATTCAAAGAAAGCAGTGTCAATGTAGTTTATTCATGATAAAATAATACAAAAAAAAAAAACATTCGAAATCATAATAACGAAACACCCGAAAGAAGTAAAGTACCAGAGTGTCAACATAGTTAGCCCAGAATCTTGCTTGTGCTCTCTGGTAAGGATTAGAAGGCAACAAGGGAGATTGTTCATTCCAAACCTCGTCAATGTACTCAACAGCAATCAGTGACTCACAAATGGGTTTGCTATTGTGGATGAGAACTGGTATTTTCTTATGAACTGGGTTCATTTGGAGGAGTAAAGAGCTCTTGTTGCTTAAGTCCTCTTCTCTCTTCTCATACTTGATGCCCTTTTCCTCTAGTGCAATCTGGACCCTCATCCCGTAAGGGCTTAACCAGAAATTCAACAGAATCACCTCATCTCCCATTGCTGAAACAAAACTAATGTTCAGAAGTGAGTGACAAAAGGAGTTGGAAAATCAACTTAGAGAAGATGGAATAGGATGATAGGTGACAGGATAAACTATTGTAATTAAAAAGAAATCCCTATCACTCATGTTTTTATGAATATTGTCTGGCACTTCTTGACAACAGTATTTTATTCAGACGGCACATTAATTATGATGATGTGCTCATTATAAAACAATTAACATTGATAATAATGATAACAAAGCTGCTGAAGCACTTCAACAAAACCTATGCTTAATGAGTTTATCATGAATGTACGACTCACCCTCGTCTAAAGATATTTTTTCTAATTTAATAAATACAATACATAGTACTTTAGCTTAATATCCTCTTTTGTCTCTCGAAAATATCAAATTAGTCAATCCTTTAAAAAGTGCGTCAATTAGGTCATTACTTAATAAAATTTATATACATGAAATTATTTCTGTTAAATCCCTACAAACAGCGTTAATTATTTTTCTCTCTCTTTTACTTTTTCTATTTTTTCTATGCAAAACAGCAATTATTTTTTCTCTTGTACTCTCTCTTCTATACCAATCATTGTATTTTTCCAATAAAATATGAAAAAAGAAATCAGCCTTAATTTCATCTTAATGGATTTAAAAAAAATCCCCGTTTACAAATAAATATTTTAAATTTTTTTATATCTTATTTAACTGTTTTACTTTTGTATATAGACATCTAAATATATATATATA